TTATTTTGATATATCACAGTGAAAGATTTATCGTCCTCTTTTGAACTAAATAAAATAAAAAAAAAAAAAAAAAAAAAAAAAAAAAAAAAAAAAAAAAAATTTAAAAAAAAAAAAAAAAAAAAAAAAAGAAGATGCATTGGAAAAAACATGAATTTATGAATAATTTAAAAAATAATCTAGCACCCCAAACTCTTTAATTTGTTTTAAATTTTTTTAGTTTATTTTGGATCCCATTCATATTTAAGACTTTTATTATCCATGCCCCATTTTCTCCAACAAAAGGAATATATTAACAAGTTTTGGAAGGACTGCTTTTCCCATTTGGGGGCCAGTTGAGGAGTTTACTAGTACTATAGGTTGGCAGTTTAACAACAAAAATCAATGAGCAACTATACATCCTTAGTGATCCTTCAAGATCTTGGAGAACAAATCTTAAAACTGACTCTTAGTCATGTGCAAACCTATTATTTCATTTGTTCTTCATATTCTTAATGTTTTCTAAAATTGGGCGTATCTTTTCCAAACTTGATTCTCCTTTTCTTTAGACTTGGATTGTATTCTTCTTTGGGCTAGTGATGTAAAGCATTTATATTCTTGCAGAGAAATTACTAACATGCAGAAATGTACTGAAAAGATACTTATTTTATCATACGGTCATTTTATGATTTAGGAAAGTTATCATAGTTAAGGTAATATGGAGCCCATTGTTATAATCTGAAATTAGCTAGAAATTAACGTGGACACATTGAATATGTGAATGAATGGACCAAAGAGATTTAAGCTCCCGCTTCTGCTCTAGAATGAAAGGTTAATTGAATGGTTAATTATTATTTGATAGAATTTCCTGCAGTTATTGCATTATGAACCTGATTTGCATTAAGAATTTTGTGTGTGTGTGTGTGTGTACTTTTAATTTGAGGGGCATTTTTTGTTTCTTTGTTCAGTTATTTCCATTGGGATTTTGTGAAACTGTCACTCTTGGTATTTTGAAATGCAGTTGAATAGTTGAATTTATGAAATTGTCTTAATAGCTATTTATATGCTGAAATTTTTAAGAAGTTAGCAGTTTTCCTATAGAGACAAATGTTTAATGACATATCTCTATACACAAATATATCATATACCTATAGAGAGTGCTGTATATGAGTACAATCCAGTTGGAAAGCTTCTGTTTAATGGACAGTTTCCTATTCTAGTGGAGAATTGATATATTTGTTCAGTTCTTTCAAATGGATTTGAGGATATTTAAGATCTTTGTTGGAGCACATCAAAAGCTCTTTCACGTAATTGGGTTCTACTTTCTTAAAACTTGTTCATGTTTTAGCAGTATTTTTTCAGTGACAAGTGAAAGATCTTCAGCAAAATATTGCTGATAATGAAATCAGTTCCCGAAAGGCAGAGTTCCTCCACATTCAGAATTACTACTTAACATACTGGTTAGAAATGTCCAGAGATCAGGATTGGATGGGGGGGTCCTCGTACAAGCTGCAAATAAAGCTTGAGATGTTTTACCGAGAGGTTAAAGTAATGTGCCTAGCACAGTTCTATTGGTTGGCCGGCATAAGGGCAGTCAGTCTGTAGCTTAATCATTGTCTTAGATCCTCATGTTTACCATACAGTGTCCTAGTTCTTCCCCAGTGTGTGCTTAGTATTTGCAACACGCAATCCCACTGCTACATTTCCAGGCCCACAGGCTTCTGTTTGTTCTTCAAATGAAAGAAAGGAAGGAGTTGGCCTGTACATTTTCTATTTGTAACATAAGAAATGAGGCTATTTTAAAAATTTAAGATTGCTGTTGGAAAGGTGCTTAGAGAACCCTTAATTTGAAATGGGGAAAGCAGGGCTGCTTCAATAATATGCCTAGGCTGGCAATCGCTACCTAACTTAGTTTGGTGAACATTTGTAGATCTCCTTTGTGCAAAGACGGCCGGAATGGGATTTTTGCACTTGAGTTCACCAGGAGCTGGCAAAACAGTTTCAAACCCTAAAACCACAGGGATAATATTGCGCTTCCTGACAGTTGGTTCTTTTTTCCTTCCCATGCCCCATTCTAATTTTCCCATGATTCTTTTTTCCCTCCCATGCCCCCATTCCTTTTTTCCCATTTTGTCCTCTAACTTGGCCATTTCAGTGTCTGAGATGCTGCTCTGAGCTAGGGGCAAGAGCTCAAGTTTGAATCCAGACCCTGTCACTTGCTGACTTTCTGATCTGAGCAAGTTATTTTAAATTCTCTGAGCTCCAGTTTGCACTCTGAAATTTAAGTTAGTACTTCCTGTGGGTAAAGCAGTATATATCTGACAGTGCATAAAGAGACAGTCAACAAAAGTTTAAAATCATATTTTGCATTATCAATTCAACGTGGTGTTTTAAAAACTTCCTCTGCCTCCATTTCCACACTTTCCCTATGTATAATTTTAAGAAGGAAACTAAAAAAAAAAATTAATTTGTTACAATCGTACTTCCCTCACCCTCTCTTCACCCCTCTATTTTTTAAAGTTAACAGATAACTTACCTGAGCATACTTTGTAGAGTTGGCGGTGATAAAAGTGGCAGAACAGGCAGGATTAAATTACAGGTTCTGGTGACCACTGGTTAAAGTTGGGAAAGAGTCGTTGGGGTCAGCATCTTCTCCTTTCTTTGGATGGATTCAGAGCATCATTGACTCTCTACCATTTGCAAATGGTGACCTTAGTTTTAGCAATGGAGACTTCAAACTCAGCTTCAACCCCATCCTACTTTCTTCTGCCATCCTGATCATTTGACAGATTTTGTAGGGACAGAGATAATGGGCTTCGATGTCTTCTGTCTTGTCATTGTTGGTCCTGGGAATGGTTTATTGTCTGTTTATTTAACCTAAAATTGCCTTATTTTAAAATTATGTCCATTTTATAATTCAGGAAATAACAGGAGGCTAAGAGCACTTTCTGGAATATTCTTAGACTACAGTACTCTTGCTGTTTCAAAGTATTCTTCCAGAAAATCTCAAGACAACCTTTTGTAACCGTCCCTATTTTGTTTGTAAGACGTGAAGAATATGGAAAAATTGCTGGAGAAATTTTTTGGGTTTATGTTGCAGAGAAGTTTGATAATGCAAATTGGGTAAATGGGTAAATCACAGGTGAGAATCTCTGTGGTTAAAATTAACTAGCCATCCAACAGTCTCCTAATTGCTCTTAAGTTCCCTTTTTTTTTTTAAGTTCTGCAGAAAAGAAAGGTCATCATTTAATTTAAAATTATAACATTTTCCAAACGTGTAGTACCATTTTATAAGAGGCATGTTTAAAGAGGAGGAGATGGTTAACATGAAAACAAAAGCATATTTGGTAAAGCACCCTACATTATGTAAGTACAATTCTTCCCTTCATTTAGACTGTAAACTCCCAGGATAGTGTGTGTTGACTAGGGCTGTGCCCTGTAAATGTGGGCTCCACATTTATGATGTTTTGTATGTGATGGGTTTGCTCTTCTCTCTTGAGGATCTCTTCCCTATAGGTGATACAGTATGGTAAGGAGGTTTCTGGATTTGGCTATCTCAAAACATAGCTATGAATTTAGGGGAAATGAATGCTTTATATATGAAGTGTTTTCAGTAAATGAGATGTTTTGATTAATTCCAGAACAGGTTAGTAGCAGACCTCTGAGTGAGTTCAGCTAAGCCATAATCATCTCTTTCCGCAGTTTAGGAGCTCAATTTTCACATTCTTTACCTGTTTTGCACATGTGTTGTGCTTACATAACAACCCTCCCTGTTTTTGAGAACAATTTTTTTAGCAGTTTCTTTAAATTTCAGTTTCCCTTTCCCAAGCAGTTGTCAGACGTCATAGCTTAAACATAACATACTGTTGTTGATAGAAGCTGGAGTGCTGGTCCAGAGAGAACACTCAGAGCCGCAGCTGCTTCTTACTGAAGGGTAAATAGCTGAAGGCAGGCCAGGTAGCAGGACCCCTCT